GCCTTTAATATGAGTGTTCACATTTCAAAGTAGAGAGGAAATCTATAGGAAGCAAATAAATACAAATATTTATTCTTCCCACATATTTTGTAACTACCTTATTTCTGCAGCACCTGAAACAAAACTATGTGTGACAGCTTTAACAAAGCAGGAGATAAACACTTATATTTTTCAGGCAGGAAAAGAGAATGAAATGGAGGTAGGAGCTAAAAATCATCCCCAAGTGCTCAGAAAGAGATCTGCAGGAGTGAACTCTGGATTTTTACTCTCAGATTTTAAAGAGAACAGGCTTCATGCATCAGTAGTTCTGAGGAAGGCATAAGGCAAGGAGCACACTTTCTAAAAGCCATTGCAGCTTATTGAAGCTACAACACACTGTGCGTGCCTCAAAGGCTTAGGAACAAAAGAACAGAAAGGTGAATTTATTACCACTGCAGCTGTAGGATGCTTATAACTCTAAATACAGCTCTCCAGTGATTTCCACAGCTCATGTCTGCAGAGACAGACACAGCCCATCACAGCGTCTCTCTGTTACTGGCTTCCCAACCAAATCTCAGTGACACTGAGCAAGCAACCAACAGCTCACTCAAAAGGTGATAAAGCAGAAATTCACTCATTGTAACTACTCTTTAACTTCTTCATTGTCAGTTGGTCTAATTAAGGTTTAATTGATGAATGTTTTCCCTATATGCACGCTGTTAAGAAGGTAAGTTCATTGGCTTGCTTGAAAGATTGAGATCACCTGGAACTTCTGACTGGTTTACCAGCTTTCCAGGGAGGGCTGTGAAGGAATAGCTGCAGTGAGACTGCAATGTATCACAAGGCAGCTTGCAGACCAATGACACCAAGTATTTAGCAAAAGTCTTAGGGCTGAACTCTATCCCTTTTACAGTGCTCTAATGGAAAAGAATGAGGAAACAGGAAGAAATGTGGATATTTGAGGCAAAGATGTGCACTAAAGCTTTATAGCAGGTTCAGGGAGAGTTCAGTACTCTGCCCAACTCTCAAACTGTGTCTTACAGGACAATTCATCTCTATTTTACCTTAAATTCATCCTTTAGTTCATCTTTAGTATTTTAGTTTCACTGATAAAATGCATTTTTTCTTGACTCCATCTATACTGGGCTGTAATCTGCCCCTCTTGCCTAAAATCAAAATATGTCCTGTGACATAAAAATACATAAAAATGTGGAAATATAAAAAGTGCTTCCCTTTGTGATATATGTTCCCATTTTAATTTCTAATTATTTGATTAATATAGAGAGCACTGCTCTGCCCTGTGATGACGAGTCACTAAGCAGGAAGAAGAGCGAAACTGCTTCCAAGAAAATTAAAAATTGGAGAGCTAAGTTAATTTGGAGGGACAGGTTCCTTTTATAATTTTTTTTTTCATGTTAGGCTTTGGTCCTTGAATTCTCTTTAATTTCATTTCAGACACGTGCAGAACACATGAGCTGCACATGAATATGAAGAAACCATCTTTTGAAGCCTGCAGGACTGTGTGCTTATTTCGAATACACACATAAACCTCCCTATGAACTACCTTCACAATAATAATTAGAAGTTAGGATGCTCAGTGTTAGTAGACCACCATTTACTCCATACATGATAACAGTACATGTATTATTTTCAGTTTTTAAAATACAGGTAAGAAGTGACTCAAAAGCCCCACTTTCTGGCCATTGTTCCTACAGCTATAACCATGTACTCTCACTGCTGAGCTCTGATTTTTTAATCTTGCTTCTAATAAACTTGCCATAAACAATTTCATATAATTTGCATTTGTTTGGACTTTCTCTTTTGTCTCTTCTGTTTTTTTGGAGAGACGAGGGAAATACAGACAGTGAACGTACATGAAGAGAACAGGAATTAAGGAGCTGATGAGAAGTTCTCAGTTCTTTATGATAACCCTAGCAGTTCCATTCATCTCCTTGTCATGCAAACCACTGCTTGCATATCCCTTTGTTTACTATGTATGTACATTTTTACAGAACTTTCTCTTACTTCCAAGCACTTTTATCTGAGGAACACGCAGCACGTTTCAGATAAAGAACAACCATATTACATTTTATGTGTTAGTCTCTGCATTAGTTTATTCCAGATAGAACAAGAAACCCAGGTGCCTCAATATCAAGAGGAAGAGATACTTGAGTTTTGATGGCAAGCACTGGATTGTTGCAGGACTTGCAGTTCTCATGAGATTGGCTGCCAAATGTAGACACATAACTGTGAAGGAAGTTCTTTTGAGGCTTAGATAAACATTTGACTGTTTGAAACAAGGAAAGGAAAATGCAAACGTTGAAATGTATTTCTACAGTATTATCCTCATCTTCTTCCCACAGCTGAGAAAATCATTTTATTGTGGATGCTTTGTAATATTGCCAAGATAAATATGCTGTAGGCTTTTCTTAACAGCAGGAAAACTACATTATTGGAATGTAAGCTTTTCCATTTAATTCCTAATCATCAGGTGTATTATATTATTGCCTTAAATCGTTACCACTTAGTACCTGAAATATCAATAGCTAAAGATTTCACCAATTGCTTTCATTTGCAACAAGATCTAAAGCCTTAATAAGCCAGAAAAAAATAAAAAAAGATATTGGTTCACATTTCTATGGCTATTCCTTGCTCTCCAAAAGAAAAACCCAAAGCCATAGTAAAAACAACTCAGCACTTCCCACATGGAAATAGAAAAATCAAACTACTTAGGCGCTTTGCCAGTTTTGAAAACATTTTAAAATGAGGAGCCCCTGAAAGAAGCACAACTGTACAGTTTTAAGGTCTTTTAAGACGGTTTCAATAAATGCTTCAAGAAAGGTAGAGTGAACAGTATAAATAGTGTAAATTACATAGAAAGGAGAAATAAACTGTGCCGGGTCTTTGAAATAAAACAAATATTTATGCTGATATAAAATGCCTGCCTCTCTGTATGATCTGTAAAACGGTAAGTAATTTTCTGTGTAGGCTACTTAAACAGCACTGTAAAATGTTTCGTGTTCCTTTGCTGCTAGGAATTTTCTTAAGAGAGAAAAACTTCATCTCATGTCTTTATCTGCACAGCTAAATTAAAATGCAGTATGTCAGCAGTCAATACAATAAGCTGGACGGTTACCGACAGTTTACCTGATAAAAATCAATCATTTCCTACAAAAAGGCTGACTTTGGTCCCTGTTCTTCCAGTTCCGTTCTCTTCAGTGTATCTTCAGTGTTTTGGGTGAATCAAAAACTGGCTGTGGTTTGCTGACAGCTCATGTGGTTGGGACTAGTCTGCCCTCAACAGGGGTTTTGGGGAATGGAGTAGCTTTATAGGAAAAAAACGAATGAATATGTAATATAATACTTGGTGTGTGTCGTCACTGTCATTTGAATTGCATGTTCACTAAAACTGAATTTGACATAGTACAGATCTGGTAGAATATAGAGGAGCAGCATGTCAACTAGAAATTCATATATAATAGGAAAAACCTGACAAGTAATGCATGCTTTGTGTATTAACAGTAGCTTAGAACAACTCTGAAATGCCAGTGATTGCTACAAGCAGTCTGACACCATGGTGATAATTGCAGTTTAATATCACTAGACAGCAAACATGACTGCCACAGCTAATGGGAACATGGCTGTATTCAGAACCCGTGTGGATAGCTATCTGTCATGGAATTGCTTTTCAATGCTTTTTCTCTAAAATAGCTCAGATTATTGCTTATGCACTTATATACATACATTCTGTTTATTTAACTAAGGATACGTATTTGAGATTCCATTTGCTCTCTCTGCACATTTCTTAGTATGGCCGAATTTATTCTGCTTGGTGACTCAAGTGCAGATAAGCCATAAACAGATGCATGATACCAGATCTCCAGCACAATTGCAAGTTTGATAAATACCAGCTGTTTTTGTCTGCTATTATTGGGACTCAGAGAAACAGAAGAAGGTATCATGTTGCATAAACTCTGGCAGTAGTAATTCATCTTCCCTTTGCCTCTGAAAAATCTGCCAAGCCGAACCTGCTATTAGAACTGTACTGCTTCACCTGAGACCTTAATGTTCCCTAGGCACGGTGCAATTAGGCAGAATTAACCACTTGTGTTTGCAGGCTGTAATGGGACTTCTAAATTTAGCTAGAACTATCTACTGAAAACTGATAAAGTGGTACCAGCATGTCTTCACAGACACCTGTACGTGTAGAATTCAGCCAAGCAATGTTTCACAGTGACAGCCAATGTAGAGAAAAACTGTACTTTGCTCCTATCAGAAAGTAATAGTCCCTTCATGAAATCCTCCACAGTCCTGAATAGTTGAATCAGGAAAGCTCATGGACAAAGGTGGAGAGTTCTCTCACTTAACTCTGGACTCACAAAATTGATCAAACCCACTGAAACTAGGTTAAATGCTAGAAAGCTAAATTTTTTACATCAAAATCTGGATGAGGTAAATCACACACTCAATTCTCTTATATTTTGCTAACTTCCTTATTGATGCTTTTATTTAAAAAGCAGTGATTTTCTCTCATAAATACTTATTATCTGGACTAATTTTCCTGGAAGCAGAAGGACACAGTCACGTAGTAGAGAGACTCTATGCAATTGGTAGGAACAGTTAATCTTTGCTTAATTCCAACCCGGCTGTCTGAGGCAGACTCAGATCTTCCTGGCATTTGTGCTCATGCTTAGCTTTTGCGCTATCTGTCTCCAGAAAGAAAATAGAAAAGAATGTAGAACAAGCAGTAACAAAAATAAACTGATAGCTAAATGTTGAATACTTACTACATGCACATTTAAAGATCGTTCTTATAGTTGCATACAATGTTTTTAAAAGCAAAGTCTGTGAGAAAAATAGAGTAACTTCTTATGACTAGAATTGCCACTTGAATTTTCAGTCCAGATGATTTCTGATGATAGCTGGGAAAAGCACTGTCTACACCAGCCTCATCCTTTTAAATGGGTTAATTTATGCACTTATCTTTTACCATATGTCTCTAAGTTTATTATTTTGCTTACCCTCCGGCTGGTATTGTGCTATGATTGTTACCGTCTGCCCTGCTCCCTTGAGTGCAGCTGCAGCCTGCTCGTGGGTAGCACCTCGAAGATCGATGCCATTCACCTACAGAAGGAATGCAAACAACAGATCTGAGTAGTTTGACACTAGACAGAAAGACCAAGGTTTTTATTTAAACACCTGATGCTTGCTCAGATGCAAAAGTGAAGGTACAAACTCAGAAATGCAGAGAGCATACTAACTATGACTGCACATGAGGATCTGCACTAATATGGCACACACTGGTGTCCCTATTTCTATCATTCCTCTGTCATTCCTATTATCTGATCACCTCTTTTGGGGTTTTCTCCTCTATTGAGTTTATTTTTGGTGGCCTCCTAATGAATTTTTTTTTAAATATAAGATTTACAGTAAATTACAGTGTTGGAGAACATTGCAGGCAAAGAAACTGCTCCTTCAGCCAGACCTTGAAAGCCCATTCTGTAGCTTCAGGGAAACCTGGAAATACATGAAGCAACTCTAACCAAAAAACACTGATCAGAGAACTTAGAGAACTGAAATTTGAGCAATCTTTTTTTTCTCCTGCTGCCTAGAAATATAGCCCTATCTTGCATGGAGCTGTGAGCAGGGAGAGCTTTGCTACCTCTTCCAATCTGACATCAGTAGGTATTTTCATGGAGCCTCTCTTATTTCATAGAATCAATTGAACTGGAAGGGGCCCTTAAAAGTCATCTATTCCAACTCCCCTGCAATGAGCAAGGACACCTACAGCTCCATCAGCTGCTCTGAGCCCAGTCCAACTTCACACACTGAATATCTCCAGGGATGGGGCATCCACCATCTCTCGGGGAAACCTGAGTGTCTCACCACCCTCACTGTAAAAAACTTCTTCCTTACATCCAATTTAAATTTCCCCTCTCTTACTTTGAAACCACTTCCCCTTGTTTTATCACAACAAACCCTGCTACACAGTCTGTCCCCTTCTTTCTTACAGCCTTCCTTTAGATGCTGGAAGGCCACACTCAGATATCCCTGGAGCTTTCTCTTCTATAGGCTGAACAGCCCCAGCTCTCTCAGCCTGTCCTCGTAGAGGAGGATTATCTAATGTTTATATTGTGCTGCATGAGCAGTGGAAGTTTAATAGAGTTCTCAAAGTAGGGAAACCATTCCAAAAATATGGGATAGCTTTAAAACTTTTTTGATTTGTAGATGTGGAGTTAAATGCTTTGTCAGCAGCATCCCAAAGAAGAGACAGATTTGATGTATAAGATTATTAAATGCTCCAGTAATGTGAATCTTGCTTTCCAACAGGGCTGTTACTGTTCAGCTGTAGAGAAGTATTTGTGGTTATTTAATGCATTTGCTTTATTTATTTATTTATTTATTTGACTTTCCTTCTCACTTTTTAAAGATTTACACATCATAACATTTCAGTGAAGAACAAGAAATATTTGGCACACAAACATCAGCAGGACAGAAATCCATTTCCAATTGCTCAAGAAAAGAAAGAAAACGAAAATGAAGTAAAGGGGTAAAAAGAGAGCGATGTCATAGATTTTGTGGCAAAGAGACCTTTTTTCTTATTTTTATCAAATACTGAAACAAAATGGCTAAGAATTTACTGAAAATATGAAGTTAATTTTATTTAGATTTTGACAACATTTTAATTGTTGCAAAAATAAATCTTATTACATAGAAGTTTACAAATTACAGCTGTTCATTTATTTTGATCAACTATGTTTTCAAACTGTGTTTTCAAACTGGCCTGTTTTATCTTGCTGTCTTTCACTAAATCTCAGAGAACCTGATTTATTATTTATTTATTTATTTATTTATTTTGGTTGAACACATATTTAATTATTATTTACATGAAAAAAAGTATCACAGAACAACAGAATGGCCAGGGTTGGAAGGGACCTCAAGGACCATGAATTTCCAACCCCCCTGCCACATGCAGGGCCACCAACCTCCACATTTAATACCAGACCAGGCTGCCCAGGGCCCATCCAACCTGGCCTTGAACACCTCTAGAGATGGGGCATCCACAGCCTCTCTGGGCAGCCTGTTCCAGCACCTCACCACTCTCTCTGTCAAGAACTTGTAGTAGTCTTTACTGATATGTGAAAACTATTTCAAATATTAGACTTTGATAATCTTATGTGTGATAGTAGTTATCTAAAAACACTAGATTCCAAGAAGACTGCATTATGCCATAGAACTGCTGACTAAATGCAGATATGTAATTGTCTAGCTGAGCTTTCACATTTCTGAAAACATTATTCTATAAGACCTAAAGATTTGCTTATTAGACTTGTATAACAAATACAATCTTCTATAGTTTTTTCTTTTTTTCTTGATAATAATGAAGGAAAAAAACTACATTTTTTTTCCTAAGCAATTAATCTTTCATTCCCCCAAATACTTTTTAAGTTTCACAATTTGATGATCACTTAATGTTTCCCCATTATATTTGCAAAATGGATTTCTTCTCATTCCTTTAAAAAAAATATAATGAAAAAATGATTTGAATTTCATTTGCCTATATTATTCCAATGTCATTCATAGCTATAGAATATGTAGAACTTTAGAGAAGCATGATCTGTTGCAATCTTTTATGGTTATAAAAAATGAATATGCACTACCTTATCTTCAGATTCAGAAAGGAGACAAGTAAATGTGGAAACAGCATACCAAAACAACATAACCTATTTAAATCTTATCTTACTCATATCCTCGTGCATATTGTATAATGACAATAATGATGTGAAAGAGGAAATGAATTATAAGTTGCCTCACAGAAAAATAAATGAATTTTTGAGCTCCTGTGCCTGTATGTGAATTTCACATTAGAGGGTATGAATGCCACTACTGTGCTGATTACGCCTGCTTCATCCGCACACCTGTCCCTCTGGGGACCCTTTGGGGCAGCACAGGAAGGGCATGGGAGGCAGCACAGTACCAAAGGGAAGGATTTTCAGCAGACAGGAGAGTGGATGACTGATAGAGTATACACAGAGATAAGACACTTTAAGGAACACTGGAGTAGCTGCTACAAGGTAATAGTATAGGCTGGAAGACCACCATATCTAAATAAACACTGAAAGCAAATATCTGTGACAGAACATAATAATTTTGAGAACAGATATGTATGGATCTCCATGTTGCTACAATCTACCAACTGAAGGTAAGCTGTGACAATTACTCAGTATTTCTATGAAATATTCTGGATTTGCCAAATATTAGCATATTTGGCTTATGTATTTAAAAGCACTATATGCTGATAATCTGATAATGTCTACATTTCTGTTATTTAAGTGTCCAAAATTGATATTATTTTTACAATTTATATCAAGAATGTGTACAGGAAAGTAAAAATCTTCACTTACAAGTAATTCTCTTATGCCCCTGAAAAGAAATGCTGACCATGAAGCAAATGTAAGATTATAAATTCCACAGTTTCTCCAATAAAAGAGTCCTCATCTTCTAGTTTGAAAACAATGGCTGTGAAAATGCCTGGTGGAATCTTTCCAAAAAATGAACCAAAGGTTCAATAATCCATCAGGATTGTATATGTGAACCTCAAGTTTAGTGGATGGAAAAATAGAAATGGAGTCCTGCAAAAATATTGATATAACATCAAAAGAGGAAATAATTGCATACATTCTAAAAGAAGAACTGAGAGAATCAGAGTTTTCAGCACCACAAAATCATTTATGTTGTAACGAATGATACTGATAATGCCTAAAGACAAGCATAGTGTTATATATTAGTCTACAACCTCTGTAGAGAACACAAACTTCCACAAATGAGACACAATTTAGACTCTTGCCGTGAAAGCAAGAGGTTTTGTGCCCTACCTTTACTCAGGGATAGTACTGTGACATTTAATGCTGAGCATAGGCACATCAGCACTACAGTTACTCATTAGTCAGTGCTTTAGTCATAGCTTTGGTGTCTCTAGAGGCCTGATGAGAATCTTGTCTATGTCATGCCATAAAAAAAACCTCAGCCTGGAGCTGGTGTCTCTGAAAAAGACAATTTTGAAGCCAAGTTATCTTTAATAATAAGCTAGCCTTTTATCTCTGTGATTTTGTTGTTGTTCTTTGTTTTTTTTTCTTTTTCCTCAATATCTGGAGTCCTCGAGAGACTCCTGAGAAAGATGCAGTATGAACTGAAGGAAAACATTGAGGAACATTCCTGAATTCCTGAGCTCCTGAGCTGGGTAGAAGGATATGATGTCACTGGTTAGCATTAGCAGCATTAGAAATCAGTTTGTTTAGGATTAAGCTTGAGGACTGTAAACTTGTGAAAGCAAATTTCTCTTAAGCCAAACGTGAAAACATTGTGGTGGTCTATAAAAGTTGTATTAACAGAACATCATGCTTTAAAAATCATTAATGAATTATAATAATCTTTCTATAGATAAAAGAATGTATGAAAGGGAAAGAAAGTACATGCTTATTAACAATCTCTACGATCCTCTAGTCCAAATGTCCACCTACCACCAGTACTGCCCACTAAACCACGTCCCTAAGTACTAAATCTACCCAGTTCTTAAACATCTCCAAGGACGGTGATTCTACTGCTTCCCAGGGAAACTTGTTAAAAAAATAAAAAATAAATAAAAAAAATAGAGCCACTAAAATAGCAGTTGATTTCTTTCTACCCTTCGGTCCTGTTAGAAGAAATTATTTTTTAGGATGCAAACACTACATATTATAATGACTAAAACTCTCTGAAATCAAGTACACTTTCATATTAGGACATGGGCTGGGATGAATGTCTGGGAGGACTTTCAGGTCTGAGTGGTTGAAATGAAAATAATGTGGAAAAGGAATGTCAGAGATAAAAGAACACATCAATTCTATTTCAGCATTTTTTTATCAAGACAATAAACAAACTAGATAAAGAAGACTAAATAAATGACCTTACTATGCTGGATTGCTAAATAGAGATCTCCTTCTTATAGATACACAACTGCAGAATAAAATCAAACAATTATTGCCTAATTGACAAGTACAAGACTGTTTACGTACTGTATTGTTCACCAATGCCTGTGACAAGATCTCACTATGGAATAATAAATGTTGAAGTTCTAACTTTAA